ATTGTGCTTCTAAAGAATTTTCGAAAATCTTTATCTTTTTCAAAATATTAAGTGGTGAATGTAAATTTTGAAAAAAAGAAAATGTTTTAATAAATAATTAATATTCAGATTTGATAATTCTAACGCAATTTTATATGAGTACATTATACATAAACACGAGAAGTTTATTTAACAAAGTGGTACATAATAGAAAAATATTTTGTTAAATATAATAAAATTTTTCTTCGCCATGATTAAGAAAATTACAAATTATCGATAGTGGAATAGACCACCCTATACATTCACCTGCATGTACTTACACCTATAGAAACAGCGAGACCGAACTCATCCCAAGTTAGAAGTCCTTTTCCGCACTTAAAGCGAAGACGCAGTTTAAGATTTACTGTCCAGTTAACACTTCGTTTAGGTAAAGCATTCATCTCCATGAACAATACAATGTATCACGCAAGGAATGAGTAATGTATTTAATTCTTGGTTCTTAATAAAAAATTAATATGAGGAAAAGTGTCACCTGGATTTTATCATACAGCTATTACACAAAAATTAAAAAAATTTTCATATTTTTATTTTCATTCTTACCCTTTAATTTTTACCCTACTAAGGTATTACACAAGCATACACTTACTACCAATCTAGAAATATAATAATTTAACGAATATATTTCGACAAAGATACTCCATTTCGATTTCAAGAACACACATTTCACTGTTTTCAATAATCTGCAAAGAAAAGTGCATCGTTTCCAAGATTAAAAACAAAATACTCGATAAGTGGCGATTCTACGATACAAAGGAAGAAAAACACAGAGAAGAAGTTCAAAATTAGAAAAAGCGACGGTAGTTCAGCAACCTACAGACAGACAGTAGGTACACGTACTCGACGTAGACACGAGGAGTTCATAAATAATCGAAGCGCTGAAGCACGACGGTGGTTTTCGCATGAAACATTGATCGACCGATGCGGACATTACAGTTTATAATGAAATAAGTGGATAGTGAATCGTTTTTAGCCTTACTTCGCTGGACGAAACTATTGTATTGATATTTCAATAACTCCCGCGATAATTTGTTCCTGTAATCCTATCATTTGTTCCTGTTTTTATCTTACATTCAAAATTTTCAACTTTTATCTACAATGGAAAAAAATATTTTCTATGGATCCTAAAACGGAAAGAACTCCACATAGAGAGTTACATGGCTTTACATTAACTTTTACATACAATTCTTGCATTATTGGTTTACTATTTCTCGAGGTGCTTGAAGTTTCATTTTGTTGAATGTAATTAAATTGTTCATCATAAATCTCGTATACTTGACAAATTTCTCTTCTCCTATGGTAAAGAAAATTACAAATTATCGATAGTGAAATAGGCCACCCTATATATATATCAATCTAATTTAATATATATACAAAATTTAGGCAAATTATTATTGCACGTTGTGAAAAAGATTAATTTCTCGAACAGACGACTCGAATGAAATGTGAAACAATGCTGAATGTTACATAAATTACAGGATATTTTGCAAACGTTTAATGTCCGACTTACATTGTTTTCCATTACCGAATGAGATTGCGAATTGATTGCAACGGATTCGTACGAGTTTGATGAAAACCCACGCCGTAGAGGATTCACGTTAAATTGTTTTGACAGTGAATCCGCCTTTATTGATATTTAATAAAGCAATGGGCACATTTTCCTGCCGATACGAAGAACCGAAATCGATCATGCTATTTGAGGACATGCTATTTTTGAACTTCGTTCCGAAACACTGAAACAGCTAACACAACAATCGTGAATATTGTATCGCAAGGTTTATGTATATTTCTCAAAGTATAACAATTTCTGTGATTCGAATTTAAATTTTAAATTTCACTTTTGAATTCAAATTTTCAATCGGA